AGATAGATAGATAGATAGATAGATAGATAGATAGATAGATAGATAGATAGATAGATAGATAGATAGATAGATATTCGTAGATTTTCATGGGTGTAGGTATGCTGGTCTTGTTGTATTCGGGTCTTTTCCCGTGTAAGATTGGGATTGTCTTAGCAACGTTTCAGCAAGGTCTGACTCACCTGAGGATGGCGAGTGAGACCTCGCCGAAACATTGCCAAGACAATCTCAATCTTACACGGGAAAAGACCCGAATACAACAAGACCAGCATACCTACACCCATGAAAATCTACGAATATCTATCTATCTATCTATCTATCTATCTATCTATCTATCTATCTATCTATCTATCTATCTATCTATCTATCTATCTATCTAATTGTTTAAGGTACATGTAGTCCTCGACTTACAACAGTTCATTCATGACTGTTCAAAGTTACAACAGCCCTGAAAAAAGCGACTTACGACCATTTTTCACACAACTCCGTTGACCATCCCCGGGGTCACATAATCAAAATTCCGAGGCTTGGCAACTGACTCATATTTATGATGGTTGCCGTGTCCCCGAGTTCATGTGATCCCCTTTTGCGACCTCCAGACAAGCAAAGTCCATGGGCAAAGCAGATTCACTCAACGACCGTATTACTGATTTAATCCCCACCGTGATTGCCCCTAAACGTGGCAGCAAAAGCTGTAAAACAGGGTGCTTGACCAATTTCTCCCTTTGCGACATCAATTTTGGGCTCAGTTGCTGTCACACGTCGAGGACTACCTGCACATTTGGGTTTTGGCAACTGGAGTAGTAAAGTGAACGAGATTCGTTCTGCAAGATCCCAAGCCAGTGCAGTTAACCATTCCTTTTTTTTTTGTTTAAAAACCACAACAACACAACAGACGAGCAACCATCTTCTGGGACCGAAGACCTTCCCATTGGACAGATTGCTAGCCATCCTCTACAGCATCGTCGACAGCCGGATCCCTCCGACTGCCAATATATTTTCTCAGGTGAGCCAAACTCTGCCACGTGTTTCAAGCTTGACGCAACTTTCAGACCTCAACTTCTTCACTGAATAATCACAAACCTGTTAACTGCCGGTGTTAACAATGAGAGGTCTTCCCCGACTTAACAGCAGTTTATTTAGCGACCGTTCTAAGTTGCAACGGCGCGGGGAAAAGGGAGTTATGACCGTTTTTTTGCACAGCCATTGTAGCGATGGCCCCATAATCACATGATCAACGTTTGGATGCTTGGCAAGTGGTTCATATTTATGACAGTTGCAGTGACCCGTGTGGGTTGGGGGGAGGGGTGCTGTCATATGACACTCTTGCGACCTTCTGACTAAGTTAGATGGGGAAGCCAGATTCATTTAATGATTCATTTAAGAACCGTAAGTGACCCAGGCAAGGGAACTCGTGATTTTTCATTTAACAAGCGTATGTGTTTTGACCCGGCTCCCAAACATGACAGACCTCTGTAGTTAATTAAATGCTTCCTTTATTAATGCCAGCAGCCCCGGCAAAAAGTCTCTCTCTCTCTCTCTCGTTAGCAGGCTAACAAGTCCATCCGGCATGAAGATGAATAGTTGTCTACCACATCTATTCATCTCCGCCCCCTGCCTTTTATCCCCAGAGCTAGGGTGGGGCTTCACTAGCAACGGTGGCTCTTCCGTCCTGAGGACCAGCCCATAGATTTCCACTGCTCTCCTCTCCTCTGCCTTCTGCGCATCTGCACGTCAGGCACTGGACCCAGCTGTTCCTCCTCTTCCTCATTAACCTCCTGCAGACCTGGAGGATGTTAACTCTGCATCTGGGGGCTGAGGGACGGCCCAGGCTCTGCCTTTGTCTGTCTGTCTGACTCTCTCTCCATCTCTCTTTCTCTCTCTTTCTCCTCTCTGTCTCTCACTCTCTGTCTGTCTGTCTGTCTGTCTGTCTCTCTCTGTCTCTCTCTCTTGTCTGTCTCTCACTCTCTTTCTCTTTCTCTCTTTCTTTCTCTCTTTCTGTCTCTCTGTCTTTCTCTGTCTCTCTGTATCTCTCTTCTCTGTCTCTCACTCACTGTCTCTCTTCTCTTTCTCTTCTCTCTGTCTCACTCTGTCTCTCTGTCTCTCTCTCTCTNAAAAAAATGGCTGTAACAGCAGGTTTCTTGATCTTATGTAAAAATGTTATTCGGTGTGATGTCTCCTGCATTGTAGCACTGAAAACAATGCAGTTAGTCACACTACGAGCTTTAGCAATTTTGTTGTTGTTTTTTTAAAAATTCAAATAGGACATCTGCAGAAGATTCTGTCCCATGACCATCCTCCAGAATATTCATTTGATTTTTATGCTGCATATATCAATATTCTTCTTGGAGTCTTCTATCCAGTCTGCAGGGACTTGAAGGAGCTTCAACATCTGGTGAGGGATCTCTTGGGGTGTTTTTCATAATAAAGCTAAGCTAAGATAACTTTTATTGTTCCTTTTTTTCTCAGAACACACTGGCACACATTTAAAAATGACATTCTGATTTTCATATTCTCCCTCCCTCCCTCCATCCCTCCCTCCCTCTCTCTCTCTCTCCAGATGCACACACACACACACACATCTCACAGGCAATTTATTCTAATAGTGGATCTTGAAGTTCTAAATGATACTAAATAAATCTTTCACTCTTTATCTTACAGGCTGCACTTAATTTCTCTAAATATTGTGAGCCTGTGGTCCAAGGAGAGGGTGAGTAGTTTACTTTCATATGAATGCTTTTATATGAATGAATCCTGCCTTGTCATGGATACATACAGACTGAGCAATGCGGTGGCCTAGAGGTGAAGATGCTTGCCTCCCACTCGGAAAGTTGAAGAGTTCAATCCCAGGCAGCGGCAGATGTTTCTCTCCCTGGACTCAAAGAGAAAATATCTGCTGTGAACTCCGCCTAGGCATCAGGAAGGGCATCCGGCCAGTAAATGCTCAGCTCCATTTTGTCGCCCCGACCCTATTCTGATAAAAGGGATGGTAGGATCATAAAAAGGAGAGAAAAAAATCGGTACACGTATGCTGGTTCAATAGGAGACAAAAATTACACCAGAAATTACAGAGCGCTAAGCTATGTGGGAAATATCGCAGGAGTAAGCAGTAGCAAACAATTTCCATAATTTGGGCAATAAAACTATGTGGAAATATCCCTACAGTCATGGAGAGTCAAACTAGACTGAAATGATTTGTTTTACCTACTTTACATGGGTAATAGAAAGCCTCTGGAAAATATGCTGCTACCATTCCACAGCTCAAATATGACCCGGTACTATTAAAATAGGGGGCGTGGTGGCTGAATGGCTAAGATGCTGAGCTTGTCAATCCAGAAAGGTCGCCAGTTTGGCGGTTCAAATCCCTAGTGCTGCATAACAGAGCGAGCTCCCACTACTTGTCCCATCTTCCGCCAACCTAGCAGTTCGAAAGCAGGTAAAAATTCAAGTAGCAAAGTAGGAACCACCTTTGGTGGGAAGGTAACTGTGTTCCGTGCGCCTTCGGCATTTAGTCATACCGGCCACATGACCACGGAGACATCTTCGGGCAGTGTTGGCTCTTTGGCTCTGAAACAGAGATGAGCACCGCCCCTTAGAGTCCTGTGGTCCTGGATTTTGGACACGTGAGTTGATTCAAAAATTGTTGACTTATGACACTGGTCCTCAACCTTTTGGGCCTGGCAGACTGGTGCGCTGGGTGTGGGGGGAAAGAGATAGTTCTCTATGCAAGTGGCAGTTGGTCGCTTATGCAAATGAAGCTTCAAGCTCATGCGCCCACTGCTTGCGCAGGTGGGAATTGTGTGCCTGTGCTCTTCCACCACTTGTGTGGCCCAGTTCCGAACAGATTGCAGAGTCAGCCTCTTGTCCCCAACAATCTGGGTCCTCATTTGACCGACCTCGGAAGGACGGAAGACTGAGTCCACCTTGAGCCTGGTGAGATTTGAACTGCCAAATTGCAGGCAGTCGGCAAAAGTAGCCTGCAGTGCTGCACACTAACTACTGCGCTACCCCGGCTCATAGAACCTATAGATTCAAAAGTTTCTGTAAGCACTCGACTGGTGTACTAAGAGTGCAGATTCCAGAATTCTTAGTCTGAAAATAATTTAGCCCTGTTGGTTAGACGATTCTGGAACATCCAAGAGAGAACGGATGGAGTCGACTAAAGTTGGCAATGATGGTTATATTGCTGGATGCTCTTCAGAGCTCCACCCTGGTTAAATTGTCTTTCCGCGGTTACAGCGAACGAACGCGACACACGCCGACTGTGGAAAAATATTGAATCCCATTTGAAGAAAGCTATGCAGACGGTTTATCTCCGAGAAGTATCAAGGTAATGGCTTCCCTTCTTTCTCTGTATTTTTTTTTTACTGTAACAATCTTGAGTTATCAGATGTGAAAGGTTTCCCCCCGCCCTCCCCAATCATTATGAGCGTCCCTATCTGTTTAAATTCTGCTTAACATGGGCAAGAGTTTATTTATTTTTTAGTAATGAAAAATGTGCAGTTAGCCAAGTGATATGGAAGATGTGCAGCGTGGAAGGTTTCTTGTATGAGTTTTCTATTAAAAGCAGTTGCAGATAAGAGCAAAATGCTGAGGAAGAACAGGTGAAAAACAACACGTCTCTAGTGATTGGAAAGGCCCAGCAGAGACTTCATTTCCTTAGAGTCCTGCAAAAAAATCAGGTGGAACAACGGGAGAAACAGGGTATTATATTTACACGCTCTGATGCTAAAGAGTTAGATGTTCTACTCCCCCTCCCCACCTGAAAGAAACTCTGTTCCAACTGCCAGTTGCCTTATACTAGCACGCTCTGATGCTGCTCCTTCACTAGACTGGGCGTGGGTGTTGCCAGTGTGTGACTCATCCAGCCTATGGGCTGGGAGTTTAGACATTCTACTCCCCCTCCCCACCTGAAAAGAACTCTGTTCCAACTATCAGTTGCCTTATGTTAACACGCTATGATGCTGCTCCTTCACTAGACTGGGCATGGGTGTTGCCAGTGCGTGACTCATCCAGCCTGCCGGCTGGGAGTTTAGACATTCTACTCCCCCTCCCCACCTGAAAGGAACTCTATTCCAACTGCCAGTTGCCTTATATTAACACGCTCTGATGCTAAGGAGTTGCACATTCTACATTAAATTTCAAGCTTTTAGTATCAAGCCCGATCACATAGTTTCATAGCGAACCACGAGACTCCAGCTAGTATACCAAAGTGACTGATGAATTTTGTTTGGTCTTTCTTCCTTTTCTTCCAAAGAAGGGAAAGCTTATTGATTCACGTCTAGTATTTATATAATTTGCACGATTACTTAGCAAAAACTCTGATTCCCTGCTGAACCTGTATATTTTGAGATAGTGGGAAGGCAAGCTGTATGTTTGGATGAAATTTGCCTCTATTGTGCCTAGGACAAAAGCACCACAGCTTCATGAAGCAACCTTCTTACAAAATGTTTCAAATAACAGCCTCTAGTTGTCAAGCTGCCTATCCAGTGAAACAATCTTGTATTGTTCCTGCTGTAGACGTACTGTTAAACAACTTTACTGCTTTACTTCTTTAATCCCAAAGAATCCCAAATGTATTCTTTTAAAAAAAGGAAGGATTAAAAAAAAAAACTTTTGCTTTTAGCCACGACAAACATGGGGTTTTTGAACAGCTACCTTGTCTTTTTTAGCTCCCAGTGGGAACGGTTACAGCAAGATAATGGAGAACCTGGACAAATAAAAGGTATGTGTTCTGACCCCCCTCATTCCACACCAACACACACTCTGAGCCAAAGATAAGTTACGGCATTTAATTAACAGACAGACAGGTCCTTNAACAACAACAACAACAACAACAACAAAACTAGAAGCAGGAACTCCGGAGACATTTATGTTGCTACAATAAATGAGAATCATGAGTTAGTCTTGGCCCAAAGAATCCTATGCAAGTGACATGAAGTTTGTGCTTTCATAGACACAAGCAGTCATATTCTGAATGCTTTCTGCAGTGGACCAGGTTTCTACCTATGCTGAGCAAATTCAGAGCATGCAGGAAGAATTAGCCTCAATTGGTATCAAAAAGTATATCTGCTTGGCAACTGGATCGCTAGACATTCATTGGCAGCTAGAAATCTAGAGATTTCACAGAACATTCCACTGTAGTAGACAGAGGCTATCTGCCAGGGCCTTTGCAATGGTGTTTTTTTCTCAATTGAACAGGCCATTCTTAATGCATCAGCTTAAAATAAAGCCTGTTTCTTCAGTGAACTATAGTAGCAGTTAGTAGTTAATATAATAACCACTTTTTTGGTATACATGATGAACAATGACAATAAAGGCTATTATATATTATATTAACATTATTATATTCTAGCTTAACTGGTCTTGTACGCAAAAAAAAAACCCAAGCCCAGAGGATCTTATAAAGGCTTTTATTATGTTCTGCCTCATCCTCAGAAATTTTACAGGCAGATTCAAATGCTTTCTTTTCTATTTGTAATATATGTTTTCCCAACTTTCCCCCCTGTCCAAAACTAACCAGGGAGGGTAGGAAAGTGTTAGAACAGTTTTCAAGTGCCTTTTCATTGGGAAATATTTGTAAGAAAAGATAATCAGACTCTTTGTCATGTTTTCTAATACAAGATGACTCCTTCCAATGTTGCATATAAAAGAAAAAAAAAGATTTAACCAAGATTCCCAGGTAATGAAACTTTAAAAAAGGAAATAGGTGGAAAAAATAACCCTGCTACAACTACTACTGTTCCATCTTCTTCCCCATCTCCATCTTTTGGTGTCTGGAGAGCATTTAACTTTTAGGAGAACAATAAAGACCACAAGGGCCTTTGGAGGGCCAGATAGGATTGAAGGGCAGATAGGATTCTATTAAGATGTTGGCACATTTGACATCTCAAAATAATGGGATCCAATTATCAGTACTCATCACTGATCGATTGATTCATTCATTGTTTGCCCATTCTCCAATGGCTCTGATGAGCTTATGAAGAAAAAATAAATATATCCATAAAATAACTCACATTTACTATCAAAATTAAATAACATTAAGAAAACCAGTTAAACATTTGAGTCATCTCCTGAATTGTAATAAGGGAAGAGCTTCTTTTTGACTTGAATGGTAGTTTGTTTCATAGGATGGCACCCACCATAGTGAAAGCAAAATTGGCCCTTGGTTTCAAACCTCTTTCTGGTAGAATCCACAAGAGATTTTATAGTCTAAGAATACAAAACAGACACTATAGGAGTAGGTATCTGTGGTGTAACTAGCTTGTCCTAAGCCAATGCTTTTCAACACATTTGGAATCTGAAGATGTGTGGACTTCAACTCCCAGGATTCCCCAGCCAGGATGCTGGCTAGGGAAATGTGGGTTCGAAGTCCACACATCTTCAAGTTCCTAAGGCGGAGAAACACTGACCTAAGCTATATAAAGTTTTATATGCCATTGGTGAATAGCTTGCATTGGGTTTGCTAGCCAGTCAAGCTGTTTCAGCATGAGGCTATGATGGAATTTCTGCCTTTTGAACCAAATGCAATTTATGGGCAAATGTGAATCTATAGGAAAGGAGTGCGCTCTTGGATTTATTTATTCATACAATCTGTAGTCCAAAAAGGAAGAAGTCCATTACTGAGTTAGAGGAAAGAATAAGATCAAGGAAGGTAAAGGTAAAGATTCCACTCGCACATATGTGCTAGTTGTTCCCAACTCTAGAGGGCGGTGCTAATCTCCATTTCAAAGCCAAAGAGCCAGTACCATCTGAAGACGTCTTTGTGGTCATGTGGGCCATGTGGGTATGATTAAACACTGAAGGTGCACGGAACACTGTTACCTTCTCAGCAAAGGTGGTACCTATTTTTCTACTTGCATTTTTTACGTGCTTTCGAACTGCTAGGTTCGAAGCTGGGACAAGTAACGGGAGCTCAGTCTGTTACGCAATGCTAGGGATTAGAAATGCCAACCTTTCTGATCGACAAGCTCAGCGTCTTAGCCATTGAACTTGAGAGACCGCCTCCTGCCAGTTACCTCCCAAAGACCTATTAGATCCCACAGATTAGGCCTCCTCCGAATTCCATCTGCCGGCCAATGTCGGCTGGCAACTCCTCGGGGGANTAAATAATATTAAAATAATACATATACATATACATATACATACACACACACACACACACACACACACACACACACACACACACACATATATATAATATAGATATATAAAATGTCATTCTGGAGCCAGGCAGCATCAAAATCAAATAAATGTCTTTTCAATACGGACACTGAAATAATTGAAAAATGTGAATGAGGAAATTCAAAAACTTGAACATTTCTGATCATTTTCTGATTTTTAGATGTTAAACATAGGTAAAAGTCCACTTTTTATCATCCTCAACCTTACATAATTGAAATATATATCTAGTCTTCTACTTAATCGTGTCTAGTTCTTGGACATGAATATACCATCTATGAATTTCAGTTCTTGGCATGCTGCATTGATTTATTTTTATTTATGTTTTAGTTAATTATCCTGTCTTCTGCAGAAGCTCAGAGGTCACATAACAGTCCTTCCACCAATTTGTTCTCAGTATAATGGGAGATACTATTAACCTAAAGTCACTCAGTGAGATTTCATGGCTGAAAGTAGCTTTGAACCTTGGTTTCTGCTATCATAGTCAAACACATTATCCATCATACTACTCACCTGTAAGTCACAGAAGACATAGGAATTAACCCAAACAATTCTTCAATTTATTATCACATATAATTGAAGTAAGAAGTTGTCCCAGAAATGCTCAATATTGGTTTTTTCCCGCCTCTTCAGCTTTTGATCTTCCAGAGAAAGGGAGAATCTACTCATTACCAAATCCCTTTTCCCAATGGAATAAAAAAATCATTTAAAAAAATAAGGATATATTAGATTAGGTCATCAGAAGGAACTGATATTTTTTGTAGGGAAAAACTAAATGAATAAATCTGCATAATAATACTCTAGGTAAAATAAATATGGTTAGATGTTTAATTGGTTAGATTAATGGGTTCCAGAGGCTTTGATTTATTTATTAAATCAAAGAAAAAAGTAAAGTTACTCTTCAAACATAAACGGCTTATTTTTTAAAGTGCTTTCCTCAGATTTGTGTTTGTGATTTTTATTCCTCTCATATGAATTTGATCCATATGTTTATCCAAGGCAATACACTATTTTAAGCATATTATTTTAGAATGGTGCGCAAGTAAATCACAATGTCCTTCCTTGATTTTTGATTTTCAAAGTTTTAACACATATATTGAACAATAATGTGTGTGTGAGAGAGAGGGGGGGGGAGGGAGGGAGGGAGGGAGGGAG